GTCAGCAGTCACTGAGAGCTCCTTGGCCACTACCTAGCATCACCCTAAGTAATCCATCTAATTTCTCATTTTTAATTGATTTCCCTGCCTCTGCTTTTGATACTACCCCTTCTGTTCATTTATTTTTCATTTTTCATTAATTGGATTAATATTATGCTATAATTTTAGGTCTACTGTTTATAAATGGCAGGTCAAAAAGTTTACTAGCTAGTGCCATCCTCAACAGAAGGCAAGATTATCTACTCTTTTATGAGACAAAAACAGATTTTCATTTTAATTAGTGTTACAGACGTGTGTTCAGTATTGCAGGTAGCCTAAAGGTAAACTTGCATGACACTACATCTTATTCTGGACTAAGGTGGATTGAAGAACAAATTTGTCGGGATGGATGAAATGATTTCAGAATGTTTGACAGCTTATCTTAATACCACATGGGGCCTGTAAATTGTATAAATAAATTTATAGTCGGTAGGTTAATTAAAAAAGGTATTTAATTAAATTAATTTAGTTCAAACAACTGTTGTTTTTACTCTTCATTTTATATGAAGTACAGTATTTTCTACATTGGTTGTACCCTAGTTGTACCAATGCCAACAGCACAGCAATGTTGTAATTCATGTGAGTAGTAATGTTCCTAATTATTTTTAGGAAGTGTTCAAGGATGTCTATAGATTTATTATGTAGATTATTATGGTCTAGAGCACATCAGCCAGCCCTCTTTCGAAGTAGGCACCTTGGTCATGGTTACATAGATAAGGAGTTTTGCTAAATATTAGCCAGTAAAGTGGCACTGCCTTTCAAAAAAATGCCAATATTATTACTACTAATTACAGTATGTTGAGAAATCAGAGACTAAAATTATGTGCAAGTGAAGTTTAAAATGAGGAACATCTGTGTTTTTTCTGTCTGACATCTGTAAACATAATCAGCTGGTGTGTTTAACAACCGTCTAAATTCATCAGTCGGAGTCTTGTTTAAAAACTTCCACTCAAATTTAAAGTGTCTAGGGTTTGCTGATGATGGCAGTGTAAAATCTTTAAATACTGCCCTTAATTCGTCCATACATGTCCGTTAGAACAGGAAAACACTTCCACTCCCAATTACACTGCACAAGAATGTCTTGGCATTTTGCACAGCCTGAAGGTGTGCTCTTTACGCACATTTACACAAGACCGCTATGAAAACACATTCGTTTCCTGCTGGTTATGATGAGTGAGACGTCAAACATGTGGTTGCTGTGGTTACAGATAAACAGAAATCCCATTGCATTACTGAGGCCGTTGACTGGGCATGTGCAAAATGAATCGTGTAAACACTGAGAGAGGCAAGGACTGTTTGATATGACCTGGTGTACACAGACACACTTCCTGAGTTCCTGAAACCTGCCACACCAGAACCAACATTTGAGGAACAACGTCAGTTTTGAGTTTTGCTATTCTAGGCTTTCTCTGGTGTTGAAGCAACAGTGTGTCATGTAGAGATTCATCCAGCCTTTCTGAAATAGAGCTCTACTATGTTTTACTATCTACTATCAGAATAAATGGGTTCTTTCTGGAAACAGAAAGTGACATTTCACCCAAAAGTGAAAATTCAGTCATTCAGACATAATGTTGATTGTTCTTTTCCATAACGATACAATGTAAAATTTTGGTACAATGGTGCTTCTTTTTGTAGCTTGAATGCTTCAGCCTCCATTTATATTAATTGCAGTACGAAGACAAATAGCATGAACTATGTTACCCGGTAGCCTATCTGTGTTTAACATCATTTCTCATTTGTGTTTAAATATTGAGTTCATGTCCTCCGCTAACATGCTGTGTGGCACATGATCTAGTACACGGCTTGATTCTAGGACTTTAGGCTAACAGCAGTACTGTACATTGCAGTTGTTGTATCGCATAACTTTTAAATCATTGTTTGAAAGAGGAATGCTTTAAGATGTCAGACAGCGTGTGCCTTGAACACACAGCACTCACTGAGTCACCGATAAACCTGCAGTATGATTCAGCAGTCTGTCCAGCAACATCGGGAACACTGTGTTTTTACATCTGAGATTTAAACCCATCTGAAAGAACAACGTATACTTCAGAATGCTTAAATATATCTACTCGGATGGAATTTTCTCTCTGTGTATTTGAGTAAAGGACATTGCTGGAGCACCCTCATCAGCAGCACAGGAAAGTACTGGTGCAGCAGTTGCATCAGAAGAAGTGGCACGTTTGCACTGCAGCATGATGCAGTGTCTGTGCAGAGACAGCGTCTTTGGTTTCTTCTCACCAGCAAAAAAAAAATGAAATGGAACCAAATCGATCCAGCAGTACCCCTCAAAGTGCTCACACAGAGAAAGAGACCCTGAGCGCTGCTGCATTGCAGTGGATGCGCTACAGTGGCCCCACACAGCTATTTTTAGGGAGCATTTATTTTAAGACTCACTGCGTCTTGCAGGTATTCTCACAGACAGTAAGTCCACTTAATGGGGCTAAGCCTGCATGCTGCTTTTATGAACATAACAATTAAGAGACACGTGGAATATTTGTATTTTCAAATATCGATTTGTCGCACCGCAACACCCTTTATAATGAAATAGTGGAAGTGAAAAGGTGTTTAACAATGGTGAAAAGCTTAGATAAGATATACACTTTCCTATTTATGTATAAATCTCAAATTCAAAAAATCGACCCTTATGACTGGTTTTGTGGTCCAGGGTCACATATTAGTTTTAAACTAAAATCTTGATGCTGTCCATGCATGGAAAGTCAATTTATGTGTCAACTCCCCATTATCAGCTGAATCCTTAACAACCACCACCACTTCTACAGTCAACACGTAACTAAACCTTAGGAATTTTCCTGGGAATTTCCTTCTTTATGACCAGGTCGGTGTTCATTAACATGTAAAAAGACTCAAGTACAAGCATGAAGGTTGCACAGCAATGCAATTGTCCCTCCTCTCCTTTGCTCATCACTCATGTTTATTTGTGGCATCGTCGCTGTTTGCCGCCAGACTTTGGCTGCATTGAGATGTGCTCATACGTGAGTTGAATGAATCGGCTCATGTCTCTCACCTTGAAATGTACTCATGCTGTTTTGCTGACAATTCCACTTTATCGATGTGCCCGTCAATGTGAGCGCAGGATGCCAAAATGCCAACATCACATGAATAGTGTCTATTTAAATCTTGTCATTCTACTTAGTCTTTTCATTTGGCGTTTTCTTTCAGGCACTGACGGTCAGTCATATGCAAATACATGTCACTTTCCCATCCTCAGAAAGCACTGAACGTTGTTGTGATGTGACGGATGATAAAATGTGCCTGATCACTAATGCTGCAGGTTTAATGGGAGTGAAAAACGGCAATTAGATTAACGGGACAAAAGCAATCTGTTACGCTGTCAATTATTCATGCAGCGCTGGTTGTCTCAAACATCAGCAGTTCGGATGGTAAAGATTGAATTACATGGAGCTCAAAGGCAGAATGTCTCCTGCTTCAGTGGTCACCTGATGGGGTCTGTGACCTATGAATCTAACTCAATTATCTATCAGGATGAAGCCTGAGTTTTATTCTAATCTGCTCATCTTCATGCCACCAGCCTCGAAATATCCCCAGCCTTCAGTGGCTCATGTCCTGTATCGACAGTGTCGAGGGGAAGTCAGGACAGCCGGATGTGGCCATGCGTCCCGGCCCGTAAATGAGAGTAACTTGATGTCAGAGCTGGTTAGAGATGGCTATCAATATTTCTTGGTGGAATCAGTTTGATCCTAAAAGCAGAAAATAGAGCCATTAGTATGTGAAGTCATGAAGTAACTTCAGGAGGTTCTTGGTCAGTCATGCAGGGAATTCACGGTTGAGTTGTCATCAGTCCCTTCCTAGTAATGGTGACAGATCCAGAAGGATTGCGGATGTGAGTGAGAGTGTGAGTGTGGGTGTGGGTGAGAGTGAGAGTGAGAGTGAGAGTGAGAGTGAGAGTGTGAGTGTGTTTCTTACACAAAAAAAGTAAGATTTGTCCATTTTGATTTTATGGTGACAATAAAAGTGTACTTAAGTGTGTTAATAAAACATGCAAGTGTACTCTATACACTTAAGCGACCTTTTATTTCATATCTTATCTAAAAGTATAGTTTTTTAAAAATATACTTTTAATATTTGAAATAGGCTACAATTGCACAGTCAATACAATTAAGAGGGTTGGCCAGGTTGTGACGACTTTGATTATTCAGTGCTGCATTGATGACGCATTAGAGACGCAATGCCAGATGTGACGTGTGCGATGAGCTGGTGTAGAGGTGCTCAGTTAAAAATGTTTGATGAGCAGGGACTTTGCAGACCGCTGTGGCTGGAGGAAGTGCAGAGGAAGGCAGTAGATCTAAAGGGCTCAGGGAAACACTTTGTCATCCCAGTGGTTGTTGACACACAGGAGTGATGCGCTTTCGTATTTCCAGATATTATCAAAATGTTACAGGTACGGAGTGATATTATTTGATGGTGTTAAGATTTTTTGAATTGGTTTAAAATTTATGAGGTTGCCTGAGCTGTTTTCGTTTGAAACGGCTTAAACTGCTCACATGCTTAAAACTAAATCACGGCATTGCATGATAGTGCTTCTTTGTAAGTTGCTATATTTGAACAGAAACACAATAATTATTTGACCGTTGCTTGTCTTTTACTCTGTGTAGGCGTGTAATAAAGTAGCTGTTTGGTTGAGAAATATTATCATACCTGTGCACTCATATTTTTTATTTGTGAAATGTGACGAGTCTGCATTTATTTCAGTCTCAGTAGCCTGTCTGTCCAGTGCTGGCCTTCTCCTACTCTTCTTATATTTAGCAAATATTTTGTGAAGATCATTTGGATCAGACACCCATACTGTGCATGTCATGAGCTGCAGCTCGAACCCTTTTAAATGCTTGACCTTAGATTAGTGTTGTACCTCATTGTTGATTTTTTCTGCAGTAAAACTGTTCCCTGCTCAGTGCACTTAAGTGTTGTGTTGATCTGTGCAGCGGCCACCAGCACCACTCCCTCAGCCAAGACCTCTAGTCATGTGACGCGCTGCAGCGAGAGCGAGAGGAACTACTGCGTGAACGGCGGCAAATGCTTCACGCTGGAGGTCACACCCGGCAACATCAGACGCCTCTGCAGGTACAGCTGCTCATCCGCACGCGTTTAACACTGAGAGATTCAGTCTGCCAGTCGCAGAGCCGTTCTACTGTGACCATGCTTTTCTGAAGTCATTTCAGTTGAGGTTTGATTCTCAGGCAGTGGCGTTTCCTCCAAGGACACGAGGGAGGCATTGCCTCCTCAAAATAATTAAATGAGAAAATATGCACAGAACAAAAATTAACAATGCCAATATTACAAAGTTTGACTTTAAAAAGTGTATCGATTTTTTCTTTAAATGACACTGTCCGACAGAGACTCCAGCTGTTGAAGCCACAGTGGGAGGCAGTGTCTCTCTTGCCTGCTTTGAGCCCATTGGATTTTAACAGACTTCCTGAAAGCATGTGTAAATCGTAAAGGGTTTGGTGGGTGGTAATCGAGAATGAATGGAGGAAAGTCATGAGAGGAAGCAATGCCTCCATCGCACTATGCTTGGCCTTTTACACTCTTTTAAAGGTACATCCATGTGTCTGTGACCGTCATGACATCTGTTATGTTGACCGAGCTTTGATGACTGATGATCCGAAAATAAGCTGACTATTAAAAATAAACAATTCACAAATAAAATAGGCATGAAATCTGAAAGTTGTTATGGGGTTTTTATAGTTGCTCTTCTGGAATAAATGTAAAACTGCTTTAAAAACTTGATGAGATATATTCTTAGGTTTAAAAAAGAAAACATTAATTGCATTTGTAATATAAAAATACAAATTAAAATTTTGGCTATTGTTTTTTTTTTTTTTTAAGTGTAGGTAACATTTATTTATTTAACCTGGAAGATGTGCTAACATTAAGCGGAACTGAAACATTAATTTACATTGGATTAAACTAAAGCATTATAAACAGTGAGGACTTTGCCTCCTCATTTCAGATCACATACTGCTAGCTGTGGTTTTCTGCCTTCACGACACTGTCAGCGCACTCTGGGGTATTCATGCTCTTACTGTCCAATTCGGTGAATAAGCACAAACCCGAGTGCTGAAGTCAGGACTCTGTTCTCATCAGTCAGCACTGCAGTCAAGTGGAGCTTCTCTCCGTCTCTCTCTTTACTGTAAATGCAGTAGTAGTCAGACGGCAGCGCTCCTCAGGGACTGTAGATCTCTGAGCTTTCCATTTCAGCATCCATCAGGGGCCACGTGACCCTTAACAAACACGTGGATGTAGTGCCAAGTCAAGTATCTACTAAGTCAGTAGTAGTGATGTGATCAGACTAAAGTAAGTATTAATGTTCAGTGCGTGCAACATCCTGCAGCGTTTGTGCTTCAGACATGAATGATGTGTCTTGTGGAGAGGTGTGCACACAGGAGAAAAAAAATCCCACAAAAAAGTCCTCTTCCTGTCTGAGCACAGCACATTGAAGGAGGCAGTCGAGCCGTATCTAGAGACCTGAAGATCACAGGTGGACTTTTTTCATGTGGCACAATAAAAAAAGTCAAAGTGACTTTTGGATGTCCAAGACCCATTTGCATTGTCTTCGGGAGAGCCAAAAATCTAGTTGTTGTTGTTAATGTTTCTACTTACATTTGATGAATCTGAAAAAGACCTGTTAGGTTTGTTTCATTCTTCACTCAGGGATGAAAAGTTTGAAATGCGAGAGGATAATTTTCTTATCCTTAAGGAAATTATAATTACAGTTTTCTTAAGGATAAAACTGATGTAAACTACATAGGGAGCACTATTACTTGCACACACCAAAGAGCATCAAAACAGCATTTATTGTTGGATTTCCTGATAAAATGTCTACTGAACTGAAAGAACAATACCGAACATTTTCAGTACTAATACATGTACCGTTACACACCCCTAGTAAATATGTGCTGCGTGCTCTCCTCTCAATAACAAAATAAACACTGAACAAAAATGATGGCGGTGAGATCAACCAACGAAGAAGAAGATGATGGAGCCCCAGAGCACACGTACCTATTAAGTAATTACCATGGACCGAAGGTGTTTACCGGCTGGGGCAAACTTTTGTGGAAAGTTTCTTTTGGAAAGCTGTTTCGAACTAAGGCAGCTTCCCCCTCAACATCATCAGAGAGCAGCTGAATGATCAAGACTGGAACAGTCTAAGCCCTGAACCTCTGCACATTTAAAAAACAAACAAATACAAATGTGACCCTCATAATATCCTAATGATTTTTGGCATAAAAGAAAAATCGATAATTTTGACCCATACAATGTACTTTTGGCTATTGCTACAAATATACCCCAGCGACTTAAGACTGCTTTTGTGCTCCAGGGTCACATATAAAAAATAATAACCAGAAAATAAGTGAAATTATCATATAAATAGAGGCCAGCGGCTTCTTAAAGTGACAGTCGACCTGTGAGTGTGTTGTTGTGTAATGTTGTGTTGTGCTGTGTTCATCCTCTTTCTAACCCAGGTGCCTTCCAGGATACACAGGGAACCGCTGTCAAACCACAGACCCTGTGAGAGTCATAGACCCCAAACGTATGTGCAGTCAGTGAGCATCCCCTTCACCCCCAAACACACACGCCATCGCCGCTGTTTCTGCGCTGCCTCGCCGTTCACAAAGCATTCTCTCCGTCAGAGTTTGCCAGGCCGCTCTTAGACGATGGGCTACTGTCTTCTCTGCCAACATTCAGACTAGAGATATTCCTCAGTGTTCAGAGACCAGCCGCGTTGAAGCTGTTGATTGGCTCTCGGAAGCTGAGAGAAATGAGGTGGACGTTTGCGAGAGGTTCAGCGGGCAACACCGGAGACACGCGTGTGTGCGGGGGACTTCTGGGTGTCAAACTCACTTCCTGTCTTCCTCTCTTTTCTCTCTGTGACTTCTGTCTTTCCCTCTCAGGTGCCCCAATGAGTTTACTGGTGATCGCTGCCAAAACTACGTAATGGCCAGCTTCTACAGTACGTCTATTTCCTCTTCCTGTCTGTGCTTGGATTGGAGCATGCTCAGTCAGGGCTTCCTCCTGTTGCTTTGTTTTTGTGCTCTCGATGGACGGGAAGTCAGATCAGACAGTGGTCCAGTTATTTTGGGGATTCTGTTTATGTTTTCCATTACTTCTCTTTGCATGTTTAGTGTTTATTAATCTAGTTTTGTTCTGTTGGATGCTAGTTAGCTGACGATGGTTAGACAGGGTTGACATTCATCAATCTGGACACATTAGTTATTAGGGGATATCGGGTTTCTCTGCTTCACATCATCTTGGACTTAGACAGGAACAGACGTATAGAACTCTGTCTGTGGACAAAATCAAACAAGCTGGCTCATGATATGTTATGAACTATGGCTTTACTCTCAGCTCGTCAACATGTTTTGTGAGCTAGCCATCGTGGATAATTATGTCCTGTAAATGTACTAAGGGTCATTCTCAAGAAACAGTGAACATTTGTGCTTGAAAACTTCTTTACTGCTGAATTCTTGAAAATGTTTAGTTTAGAACAGTGTTGTTAATGTTAACTAAAAACTAAGACTATTAAAAATAAATTTCATTTGCAAAGCTGAAATAAAATAAAATACAAATATTAAATGAAAATTGTAAACCTAAAGAATATTAGAATTGTTCCTTAGCAACTGAAATAAGTTTAAGCTGAAGTACTTTAATTACCAAAACTAAATCTAAAATAAAAACTAAATTAAAGCTCAATAGAAACATTTTAATAATTAAAAATAACAAATGCTAGAAAACTTAAACTAAATTTAAAATTAAAATATTAAAATAAAAACTAACTATTAAAATATATTATTAAATTATATAATAGTAAATTAATAATACTAAAATAACACAGGTATAGAATTCCCATATTTTAAAATTCATAATTGATATAATAATAATAATAATTATTATTATTATTATAATAATAGTAGTAGTAGTAGTAGTAGTAGTCTGCCATAATAACCCAGTATGACATTTCTTTTTTAAAACATATTTTTAATGGTATTACATATTTGTAAAAAAATAAATAAAATAAGAATAATCATATCTATAAAATAAGTTCAGTGTCCTGCGCACAAACACCTTTTCCTGAGAATGACCCTGTTAAACCATTTAAATGACCTAACACAGTAATAACCATAATTTATTTCATTAACGCACTTAAAGCACACTCTTCAGAGTCTCTGAAGCCGATCTGAAGGACCCCTGCTGAAACTCATCAGTACACTATGAACACTGTGAACCTTGCTCAGATGAGATATCAGATTGGACATTGAGGGAGGTATAATGGAGCAGACAGAAAATCTCCATCGATTTATCTACAGTGCTAAAAAATAGCAAAATTTACTGGAGACCTGCTCAGACAATCTATTCTCAGCTATTAATAGTGTTTGCTAATGTGTCCTTCTTAGTATGACCTCCATCAGTAGAGATGCTCTGGCTCAGGGTCCAAAGAAGTTTTATCACCGAGAAACGACATGCAGGAAAGATCAGATCATTGGCCCTCTAACAATACTTCATTATTAGGTCATAATGATACATTCAAACAATTGATAAGCAAGGGTGATATTATTTTGAATTATTCTAATTGGCCATTTTACATTTTTGTTATTGTAATGTCACTCCATTTTATGGCTGGAGTGCCATGTATTTATGGCTAAGCATGACATTGCTTTTTTAGTCATGAGGTTATTTAAATAATTTTATCAGAAATCAGTATGTGAGTTTCTGAGAACCTCGTTTTTTATTTCAAATTAAATTTCTGGAACCTGTTCTCAATGTACAGAGGAATCATTTTGCCAGTGTTATTTCTTTTAACTTTGACTGGCTCAGGTATCAGACCAACAAGCAACAGCAGGTTTTCTTCTGGACGTTACAGATAGTTTAGGTGACCGAGATGTGCATGTGTTTAACAGCATGTTCATCTAAAACATGTGCTGGCGTAATGACATGAATAACCGAGTCTGACTTTGTCCGTAGTGAAATGTGGAGGGTCGGTCTCTATAATGATGTGAGCGCAGTGACATCTGCATGTGCATGTCCTTGTGTCATGATGACAACCAACCATAAGTGTCTGTATATAGAGATGTGCATCGCTATATACGTGTGACAAACCGTCCATGAACTCTAAAAGCATTCAACGATGCATTGTCATGGTGGGTTTAAAGTCAAACAGAATAGATTTGAATGATTTCTTTTCAAATGTCGTGTGTGTCTGTGTGATGTACCATGCTGTACTCTACATGCTGAGATGATTTCAGTGTTTTCGGAGGTGCTTTGAGGTGGTGTTTGTGTGCAGTCAGTCAGAGTTGACATCACCGCTCAACTGTTTTCTGTTTGTTTGTGTTTTGCTTTCTTTTCATCACCTTGTCTGCCTTGGCAGAACATCTTGGGATTGAATTTATGGGTATGAATCGTTCTTTCCTCCTAGTTTGCAGATTCGTAGGTCTAGAAGCTTGAGCCTGTTTCCTTCAACTTCAGCTGGTTTCCTTTTGCTCATGAAGGGATCAAACAGCCATAACAAGATGATTGGAGATTGACATCATTATTATTCTTTATTATATTAATGCACCGGGCTTCAGATGGCTGCTCAGAGCCACTCTGCAGGTTTCTAGTGTTTTAGGCAAAAAAGTGGATAGCCGCTCCAAAGCATGTGATGTGCAGGGGGGCATTAGCCTGCATGGTAGGAAGGATGCTGTCCAGGACCGAGTTTGGGCACCCCTGATTTATATATATATATATATATATATAGTTTGTTGAATGTCTGTTAAAGTACTACACCACCTAAAATACTGAAGTGAGATCCATCAGTCAAGAAATGTCTTTGTAACCATGGACCCTCTGAAATGTCTATGGAGACAATGGTGAAATATGTCCAAAACCCAGGGACAGTCACTGTTTAATGATGAGGAATCATTGTGAATGAACAACACAAGACTAGTGGATGAGTGTGATGAGTGGCATTGACTTTGGCTTCTCACAGCTGGAGTAATGGGAAAGCAGAGAGTGTGGTTTCTGACAGTCACGCAGTCCTGGTCAAGTCATCGGTGGAGAACTGCCGGCACGGTACGTCCGGTCACAGGGGGCGTCTGAATGCTACCGGAGGAGTCCATCAGCTCAACGATCACCTGAAGAGCTCCAGAGAAACCCAGGGCTCCTGCAGAGACTCCCCCTACAGCCAGAGGTACTGTTCACTGCATAGCACTCCTGCAGGATCCCATCTCTCCTCATTAATACCATGAGCTTTTGAATAAATATTATGTCATGTGAAGCTTTATGCCGTGCTGCTTTTATTTATCAAGCAGTAAAATCGCCCATTCCGTGGCCAAAACAAGCCGTCTGTGGATGAGAGCTTAAAGTGAGGACTGATGGGACGTTTTTCTGCTCCACAGACGATGGAGTGGAAGGAGAATTTTAGAATAACATGACAAAAACAACACGTTATGCGTCATTACGCCATTTCTACGTCATTGCACGTGCAAAGTACTTTCCAGTTTTGGTTTTCAATCCGATCAAGTGTTTACGTGTCCTCTGGATCGGATTAGAAAAGGTCTGCACCACCCCTTCCAAACTGATCGAAATCTCATTTGGATCAATCTCATTCAGATCAATTAAAGGCCCAATATGTAATTTTCACCTCTAGAGGGCGCGTATTCAAAATAAACAAAGAGGCAAAGGCGTAGTTTGATGACACCGTGACTGAGTGTGGAATCATGGGAGTTGTGGTCTTCATCCCCACAGCCGATGCAATCCGACCAGACTCCGGCAGAAATCATGTTCATGGATGAGCTAATGATTTATTAACGTAGTAGAATGAAGCAGGGTGAGGCTGAAAGCCGTCGAAGCGAAACGAGGC